AATGTATGCAGATGATGTAAAGCTTTATAAATCGTACGTTTCAATTAAAGAATGGTCTTTGCTACAATCAGACTTAAACAGCATGGCTTACTGGTGTCAAGTAAATCTTATGCCTATAAATCTTAAGAAATGTAAATTAATGTGCTTCTCGCGAGGAGCTGTTCATCCCGCTTCATATACAGTAGGCAACCATTACCTGGAAAAGGTATACAATTTTGTGGACCTTGGTATCACAATGGATCCTAAGCTTAATTTTAATCTTCATATTAATGTGACAGTCAACAGGGCTAAAGGTGTACTTGCATTTGTGAAACGATGGTCAAAAGAATTTTGTGACCCTTATATCACTAAAACCCTGTTTACAACATTAGTTAGGCCAATTCTGGAATACGGTTCGGTGGTTTGGAATCCAAGGTATCAAATTTACTCAGACAAGATAGAATCAATTCAAAAACAATTCCTACTTTTTGCTTTAAGAAATTTCCGTTGGGATTCTCAATATAACCTTCCACCTTATACGAGCCGATTAAAACTTATTAATCTTCCTACACTTTCCAGCCGCAGGCAAATGCTTGGTACAATTTTTATAGTTAAATTACTAACAGGCTCAATTTCAAGTCCGCATCTTCTTGGCGCAGTTAGCCTTAATGTTCCCTCCCGGGTATCAAGACACTTTTGCCCCCTATTTCTGAAAGCTTGTAAAACTAATTTTGAATTGCACGACCCACTCCGTTGCTTATGCCAGGATTTTAACTCTCATTCCAGCACGTTTGATATATCAGATCCGCTTTTCAGCATTAAGAAATCGATACTGTCCTCTCTCAATAAATGAATCATTAAAATAAAGACATAAAATCGGCTGATGAATTTAGTTCTGTAGCTGAACAGTTTTGTATCTCGACACTTAACAGACTCCTGCCTATCGTGACTCGGTGCAAAAATTGAAAATAAATACTGGTTCCGTACGTCATGCGGACTGCGCCCCTCGTGCGGATGGGAGGGAATGGAGGGTAAAAACCGTTGGGATTATTATATATTATATTAAACTTTCAGGGTTTTAGAAATTTCGTTTCAGAATATGGTCGCTTATGGCGCAATACTTCGTATCGACCAAATGCAATACCACGTATAAGATAGTCCGAAAGTTTCACAAAGGAGAGAAGAAATATATTTTCTTCAAAACTTTTGAATGGTTTCCCAACTAAACTTACTAAATATGAGCTTTTACTATAACTATCCACCATTAAATTTGTGAAGTAGGGAAGCATTGAGACAGGTTAACCAAAATGCATGTTTTTCTATACCTCCTTATACGTGGTATTGCATTTGGCGCATACGACGTATTGCTCGCCATATGCCTACTAAGTATGAGACTGGACCTATCTTTCTTCTGTATCCTTTGTTATTAACAAATTCATAAATATAGTTACCGTTTCTTGCTGCTAAAATTCCGCCAGTTGCAAATCCACTTATTATAGAATTCCATGGATCCTCTTTTTTTCGAAAATGTACTAAAGTACAATCTATAGTACTAAACATTCCTCCCCAAACTGCGAAATTTCCTGCAATCACTGGAGAACGTACTTTGATAGCAGCCAAACTTCCAACCTATGTGAAATATATGTAAATATACTTAGTTGCTTTCACTTTAAACATTTTTAAAATATTAATTAATAGTGAATAAACGCAAAAACATATTTCCATGGAATGCACCTAAAAACAGCAGACTATTTAAAAACTATGGTTATTTGACATAATTTTAATGCCAGATTATCTTCATACATTTACTGTGTAGATAAGGCCTTCCCAAAGTGGGTGCCGCGAGCGTATGCCTGGGGTGCCGCTAGTGGCTAGAGTATACTAGTGGTGCGGACAAATTCTTTACACTTTCCATACAAAACGCAAGCAGTTTGATGAAACTTCAACATGGCGGACAGTAAATCAAAAAATTTAGATTTTTATTAAAATTACCTTCAGTGGCTCCTCAAACCCCATACACAACACAAATAGCTTGCAGTAAAGGGATATTTCGCTCTTAAGCGTAGTTCCCCAGTACGTTTTGTCAAAGTAAAATTGAATCAGAAAATTTTCAGAAAAATAGCCGAAAGCGTACCCTTTTCACAACCACTTTCGGTACTTTTGTAGACCTAATCCGTTTTTCATCCACCTTTCTTCCCGTTTTCGGATTAATTTTCAGATTTTTTGCTGGCTGGGCTGTTTTCGTAACAAGTGCAGCAGCTTCGCGCACGTGCATTTATTACTTATTCTTTGGAACTTCACAATCACACTGTCAAAGAGCGAATCAACATGATTTTAGAGGCAGTCTTCTCGTGTTAGAGAGGTACCCATTCGCAATGCAAGAGGCAGAAAACGCCACGAGAAGTCACTGTATGATCCCTCGGTATTCCCTGGCGAATAGGAAGATGCCGCCACTAGACTTAAAACCCACATTGGATGACGCTGCAAAGATAACAGGGGCCTGCGAAATTAAAATACAACTCTGGCTTTTTCTAACATGTCGAGATTTTTTTTATTGTGACATGTATATTTTAGTATTTCTAGCAATTTGCATGAAAACCCCACAAATAAACAAAGCAATCAGAAAAACGTATATAACTTCGAAGTCAGAAAATTGATAACAGCCGGTTTCACTAGCAATTTCCATATAAAATTCAAAGAATTAAAATCATTTATCACTTCAATTGCTTTCGTGAAATTGGCTGTAAAAATTATTTTCTTAGCGTCAACGCGCATTACCAGCGTTAACTTGGAGAGTTTAGAAAAAACCATTGTCGAATATTTTCCCAACATTGAATCTGAGGATGGCTTCAGCTGGATAACAAACCCGTGTTTNGTAAAAATTATTTTCTTAGCGTCAACGCGCATTACCAGCGTTAACTTGGAGAGTTTAGAAAAAACCATTGTCGAATATTTTCCCAACATTGAATCTGAGGATGGCTTCAGCTGGATAACAAACCCGTGTTTATGTGGCCCGAAAAGTAAACCTACTGAGATGACCAATTAAGCTTTTGAAAACCTTATGGACATCAGTGAAGACAGGACTTTGAATATTAAATACTACGAAGAGAGTTCTGCATGCAAGTGTATGCAGAAAACACTGCTGTTGGCAAGATTGCATTATAAATACTAGTGTTTTTTAGGCCCTTATTATGATCGCTCTTCGCTTGTTATTATTATGGTGAAATTATGAGCTATACAACCGTGTCAAAATTTTCGTTGAGTATCGAATTTTCTGTCGAGCAGAATTTTGCTTTCGATGTACACCATCGGCGAAGAGTTAGAAAATTGTGAAAAATTTATGATTTTGCATTTTTTTTTACTTTATGGCGGCTAGACATTAATTTTAAACAACTCTTATTAATTTCATGCAGTTCTAACGTTGTGAATATTAAACACAAGCTCGAAAGGCTGGTTTTACTTGTGAAAGAGAATCCCAATACTCAGTTGGCACGATCTCTGAGAACAAAATCATAAGCTGTTGATATTTTTAAAATATTTTAAATAGATTTGGCTCACAAACGCCTCTTTAGACAGTCGGAAGTTTTTAATACATCTGTAGACAAATTTCTTAAATATTGTAGTCGTTGGTCCACTATTAACAAATTTAACGCGTTCAGAATTCAGCTACTACGGAAAATAAAAGTCTTCGATTTACTATTTTGTACGAAGAACGGAACGGCTTATTTTGCTGTGTGTTACTCCGGCTGCTGACCAGCGAATGGTGGGCAAGTAAAAGGCAAATACGGAGCAAACTCACAGCAGCGAAAATGTGTACATACACTGAGAAAAAAACGCGTTGTAAGAATAAAAAAATTTTATTTGATTACCATTTAAAAATGTTCGTTTTTAAATCAAGTGAAAAGTCTTAACAAAATGGATTTTTTCATTATACATACACTACGTATAATGGGAATATTCAAATCAAATACGCCCGTATTAAAATGAAGCATTTTCACTGCACGAAAGCATATGTATACAAAGCATGCAAAGCGGGGACAACACATACATACATACATATGTACAGACATGGTACGACATCATGCACTAATCGCGCGCTGTGATTTTGATTCAAACTCAACATTTGAAAACACATTTACATGTATGGCTGTAGCTGAGTGTGCAAAGACGCTTGATACAATTGGTTGCTACCAAGAGCGTCGGGGCTCAATTACCATGGGACGGAACACAAAATTAAATTTTTTCTTCTTAATTTTAATTTCGTATAACGAAAAGGCATCTGTGCACTTCGCAACGACATATTTTATAACGTACATACTCAAATTTAAAACGAGTTGGGTTGGTGCTCTTTCATATGCGTATTTTTTTAAATTTAGCACGTTTTTTTTTAATTCTAAAATTTTTTTCCCTCAGTGTAAGTATGTGAACATCCCCACCCTCGAGAATCAACCCGATTCACTAACTTTCACATCCAGAACTTCCAGCTTGGATACGGCTCGCCGCTTCACTCCAGCAGTTGTGCGCGCGTCAACTTGACGAATTTCACCATCTCGGCCAGGGTATACCTCCTCTACTACGCCCCGACACCATTCTCTTCGCAGTACGTTGGGAACACATAGGAATACCAGATCTCCTTTGCTTAATGGCTCAGTCCTTTGGCACCACTTAACGCGCCGTGTTAACGTAGGAAGATACTCCTCTATCCAGCGCTTCCAAAAGTGGTCTCGGAGTTGGCGGGCGATGCTCCACTGTTGGCGTATAGCGTATGTGCTGGTTAGGATTTCGGCTGCCGCTGGCGTCTGTGCAGTATTAGCCGATCCTAACAAGAAGCCGTTTGGAGTTAAAGGCTGCTCCTGGTTTGCTTCGATTGGCAAATGCGTGAGGGCGGGAGTTAACGACATTCTCCGCCTCGATCAAAAAGCAGTTAAGGGTGTGCTCTTTTGGGGCGACTTTTTTAATTGTCTGGCGTAGAACTTTCTTGATGGACTGGACCATTCACTCACAGGCTCCTCCTTCGGCTGGGTTAAACGGTGAGTTGAAGATCCAGTCGATACCACGTTTTGACAGCTCGCTTTGCATGCGTTCGCAGTCGAAGACCTCATCGAAGCGTTTGGCTTCGTTATTGACTCCGACGAAGTTCTTCCCGTTGTCAGATCTTATTCGCTGTGGCACTCCTCGGCGATTTATAAAATTGCGTATTACCGTTATACAAGAGTCGGTGCTGAGGTCATGTGCTATCTCCAAATGCACGGCTCGTATGGTTAGGCATGTGAAGAGAGCCACCTATCTCTTCTCTGTACTGCGTCGCCCGGTCACATGTAGAGGTCCGAAGTAGTCCAGGCCCGAGTATGTGAACGCCCTAATGTATGGAGTTACCCGGTCAACGGGAAGCGGTCCCAACAGCGGGGGAATCGGAATTGCTTTGCGGATGCGAAACACTGGACAACTGGCAATGGCGTTGCGTAGAAGGCTTCTCAAGCGTGGTACCCAGTAACTACGCCGTATGGAGCATATCGTTGCTCCCGTGTTTTGGTGACCCATAATCATGTGGTGATGCGACGTCATTAGTTTCGTGAACGTATGTGTCGGTGGCAATATAATGGGGTGTCTCACGTCCATTGGCAATCAGCTGGCAGCATCGGTGCGCCCGCGAACGCGTAAGACACCTTCTTCGTCGAGATACGGCGATAGCTGTAGTATAGAGCTTTGGCGAGATACACCCTTCCCCTTACTGATTTGTTGAATTTCCGTACCGAAGGCCTCACCTTGGGCGATACGGCACAGTAGGCGTTTTGCTGCTTCCAAATCGCTGGCTGTCAATCCGTAGCAATTTTTTTAAATTTGAACTTGGCGGCGTATTATTTTGGTAAACAAGATTACCCAGGCTGTGGCTCTTACCAACCTGTTAAATGATGAGAAACGATTAAAATTGATAAGGTCACAACTTACGATGCTCAAAGCGTATTGAGGTCGAATCTCCTCGTCGCATTCATTGAGCTTAGGGGCAGCGACGTCTTCAGAGGGCCAGGCGTGTTCTGGTTTCCGTAAAAATAGTGGTCCATGTACCCAACGGCTTGTTGGGGCAAACGTCACTTTGTGATTGACACGTGTTGCTTCGCCGGCGACATTTTCTGCAGTAGATACCCACTGCCAATCGGATACTTTCGTGGCGGCTAAAATTTCTGCAAACCTGTGTTGCACGAACGGCTTGTACCTGCGATGTTTACTTCGTATCCAATTCACGACTGTCTTCGAGTCACTCCAGAGGAAGGACTTGTCAATAACTACATCGTGCTCCTCGCGCACGGTCTGCATTAGTCGTGTACCCAAAACGGCTGCTTGCAGTTCTAAACGCGGAACAGTAAGTGGTTTTAGTGGTGCGCACTTAGACTTAGCGCAGACGAAGGTAACATCAACTTCACCACGGCAGTTTGTTGCTCTCCAATACGCGACGGCGGCAAATGCGTTTTCGCTGGCATCCGCGAAAACGTGTAGTTGAAGTTCTTCTGGCTGACCTCCATGGAAATAAAATCGAGGAATGGCGTATTCGGTCACTGCCGGCAATTGCTTACGACACCTTTCCCCACAGCTCTGCGAGTTTGTCAGGCAACGGTTCATCCCAGCTCGCCTCATGTCGCCAAACCTCACGCATAAGTAGTTTAGCGCCTATGATGAAATGTGCTAGGAATCCTAGTGGGTCGAATACCGACATCACCACACTAAGAAGCTACCTCTTTGTAGGGCGCCTGTTACCTTCAACCACGGCTTCACTGACGTTGTGAAATTTTAGGATAAAGTTGAAGTAGTCTGTGGTTGGCTGCCAGTGTAGGCCGATCACCCAGAGCGGCGACCACCTCTGACGAACTAGATGTGAAGTTGCGGAGCTCGAAACCAGCATCCATGTGAATCGCTCTTACTTGGGTTGCAACAGCGATAGCTTCCTTTGGCGTGTCGAAGCTATCCACTAAATCATCGACATAGTGATAATCTAAAATGGCTTTTATGGCCGGGCTGTGTAACGATTGTCGCCGCGATGTTCCAAAGCGTTTCGCGTTTTGACGTAATGTGCAGCACAAGGTGAGCAAGCAGCTCCGAACGTCATCACGGACATTTCGTATACACTTGGTTGTCTCTCGGAGTCACCATCCCTCCACAGGAATCGCTGGGCCTGTCTCGTCATCTGGGCGTATCAGCACTTGATGAAACATCTCTTTGATGTTACCACAAACACCCACTGCAACGGTCTGTACTCCTGCGGACCCTTAAGCAGATGACGATTCAGCGAAACTCCATTAACCTCGACGGCAGCATCAAAGACTATTCGTAGCTTATTGGGTTTATTCGGGTTCAACACGGCAAAGTGCGGCAGGTACCAGGTACGTGGCGTTATCGAGGCGACAGCTGACGGTTCAAGTTTACGCCCATAACCCTTTTCGACGTAACAGGCTACCATGAGCTTGTAGGCGGCGGCGAAGCTCACGTCACGACTCATTCGCTTTTCGACACTCACCAATCTCTTGAGCGCCATATTGTAGCTGTCTGGCAGACGCACATTATCTTCTTTCCATAGAAGTCCGGTTTCGAATCTTGTACCAATGCGGCTGGTTGTCGACTCTAATATAGTCCTGGCACGGACGTCAGCTTCACTTTCAACGCTTGCTGCAGCTCTAACGCCGAAACTTTCAATTTCAAAAAAGTCGGCAACCATTTTGTGTAGTGTCTCGTCCGGAGTTCTATTAACTAAAAGGCATGTTAATGGCGTAGGCATATTTTTGCTAGTCGGACCGAACACTACCCACCCCAGTTCTGTATTGGGAGCGTATGGTCCATTTTTCCTCATCGAAATAGGAGGAAGGATGCAGTACCCAAATGGCAGTTATCGATACCGGTAAGTATTCTCGGTACCGCACCAGGTTGTGGCTGTACGGGCAATTGACGGACTCGTTTGTCACCGCAAAGTAGGTCAGTGGGGCTAAGGCTTTGCGATGGCAATTGAAGATTTTTCACAGCGTACACGTTTTGCATTTTGTGCTTCTTTGTCATACCTGCACCACTGATATACAGGTCAACCAAGGTTGCTGGCTCCTGTACGGAATGGCCACCGAACCACTGAACGTTGAGATTGTGTTGCTGTCCGCGCAAGTCAAGCTCTTCGGCGAGAGTGTTGTCGATCATGGTGATGGAAGAGCCTTCGTCCAATAGAGCATACGTGTCTATGTGGCGTTGTCTTCCATATACTGTAACTGGAAGTATACGGAATAGTAGCTTACTTACTTTTGAATTGGCGGCGCAGCTTAACACTGCAGCTCCTGTATCGGTAGACTGTCGGCTGTTTACTGGGGGCGGCGACGATAGCTGAGTTGAAGTCGGTTGAGTGGTATTCTTCGTCGACGATGACGATGGCACTGGCGGTTGCCATTTGTTATGGAATCGATTACATCCACCGGTCCCACAAACCTTTCGTTGTCTGCAGTCACGTGTGGTATGACCAGCATTCAAACACGCAAAACATAGACGTCGAGATTTTACTTCAGCCCATATATTGGCCACTAAAGAGTCGATGAGACGTTTACAGTCGTACGGCTTATGCTGACTCTGGCATATCGGGCATTTTCGAGGCTGCTGTCTTTCATCAGGATGTAGCAGTACTGGACGTTTTGAGTCGCGACCGGCAAACTGGCTTTCGTCATGTATTGTGCAGATAACATCGGCTAGTGAGGTGAGCCAATTACTAAAATGCACCGTTGTAGCGCGCGGTTGTACGGTGGTGGCATACCGGCCCCACTCGATGCGCTTACTCATAGTCAGCTTCGAGATTAAGTCATCCAGTAACATTGGGTTAGCGGCGTTGGCTGATTGCAAAATCACACAAATATGTTTGACTTTTGTTGCGAAAGGAATAAGCTTGCTCAAAGCGTTCTCTGGAATCGGAGCGACCTGCAACAGTTGGCTTCGGATGAGCTGCTCTGGGCGACCAAATCGACACTTTAGTTGCTCAATGATACAGCTAACATTGACGGGGTGAATCAGCAATGACTTCACCATCTCGCGAGCATCAACCTTTAAGCACTTTTGCAACCATTGGTTGTTATCGAAGTTAGTGTAACCATAAGTTGCCGTAGATTCGGTAAATGCTGCACAGGCCACTCTTCAGGTCGTCCGCTAAATTCCGGCAAATCTAGCAACTTTCGCGGCATTAAGGCAGGTTGCGATGAATACGGCATGTATACGTTGGCGTTGGTAGGCGGCATGGATAAGTTCGGCGAATGTAATTAGTACGTATCATCAACATGAAACGCACAGTATAAATTATTTGCTGTCGAAATTGTACTGCAAATAATTGGCTGTGAGGTGGCACCACAACGGGACTCACCAAATGGCTGACTTGCGTTAGACTGCGCGTCTAACGGTGGCGCTTGCGCTGACTGCGGCAGTGATAGCTGCGACTGCGCGACTACGCTACTGGCGTACGTAACGGCGGAACTACCGCTTCCGCATAGCTCTGCTCTGAGGGTCTCGTTTTGTAGGTCACGCTTCCTTAGCTGTACTTGCGTAGCTTTCAAAATACTTTCAAGCGTAGCTAACCGGTGCTCCATGGCTTGGAGATCGAAGACTGAAGGGGCTGGCATATCCGGTGTGATGTCTCTGGAAGCTTTGGCGGCGTAAGCGTCCGTGCCTGGGATTGTAGTAACTCCGTCGGCATCGGCTAGTCGGCATCAGACGTAGTGGTGTTTAAGGCAGTTGTAGTGTCCATGGCACGACCGTTGATGCTTGTCGCGAATATTGACTCTTCAGCGATCGACTCTAAAGAATTAAATTGGCGTTCATATTGCTCTGGCTGGCTTGCAATTGTTGGTTTAGCCGAGGACCCCTTCGGATTGGAGTACGTTGCATTTTTAGATCAGATAACCAGTGGCAGCAACTTCCCAATCAAATGCGAGTATGCACTACGGCGCGGCTATTTAATTTTAAACAAACTTCGCGAAAAACAATACATCACGACAAAAATACGCAAGCAAAATAAAACTGTAGTCATTGGTCCACTACTAACAAATTCAACGCGTTCAGAATTCAGCTACTACGGAAAATAAAAGTCTTTGATTTACTATTTTGTACGAAGAACGGAACGGTTTCTTTTGCTGTGTGTTACTCCGGCTGCTGACCAACGAATGGTGGGCAAGTAAAAGGCAAAGACGGAGCAAACTCACAGCAGCGAAAATGTGTGCATAAGTATGTGAATTCAAATTCATCCAAAATAGGATAACGGCAAATTGTACATGCATATGTATATAAGCAAATTTCAATTGTACATATGTAAGTATGTATGTATGTACATACATAAGGCAAACTTCAAATTTATACATGCGAAGCAAATACAATAAGAAGTGAATAGAATACAAAGCAAATATGATAAATGAAGAATTCGAAAATATAAATCAGTCACAATGGATGATACGGTAAGCGGGCGTTCTGCGACAAATATATTTTATGTCAAAATATATTCGAAAGACTAAGCTTAAACCCTCTTAAACATTTTCCACTCCTGGCCAGTTTACCAAGCTCTCATCCTCTGACGAATCGTTGAACCAGAACTCCGTTGTACTCATTTTTACCACGTTTTTATAAACTCGCTTTCTCTTTTATTTCATTTTAATTTGCACAAATTTACATACATATGTATAAGCACACTATTTAGTTTGCTTGATTAGTAAAGAAAACTTCTCAGCGTTGAAAAATGTACTATTGTAAACAAGCTAACCCAGCGAAATTCACAATAGCGCTATTCTTGATCGAATGAGCGTCATAATACCAAATGAAAATTCGTTCGGTCGGAATGCAACTCATAATAGGGGCCTTACTTTTACATTTCTATGTGAGACTACATTTTCAACAAATGCTTACCTAAACAAGTAATTTTTAAGCAAAAAAAAAACAAAACCAATTTCAATTCCCATCTAAGAATTTAAGGTTATCGTTTATCTATTCATGATCTGCATTGTGTTTTCTTGTTTTCGTATACATTTGAAGAGTAAGGGGGCCGCGAAATTTTTTTAGCACAACAAGGGTGCCGAGGTGGAAAAAGTTTGATGTAGATCAATGATGCCGGTCGCCTTAGCCGAATGGTTAGAGGTGCGTACATTCACTAGATTGAACCAAGGTTCACCAGGGCAACATCTAAAAGAAAAATGTTGTTCCTCGGTACGCAAAGGCAAGCCCCCGAATGTACTTGTGCCATGAAAAAGCTTCTCTTAAAAACTATGTGCCATTCGGAGGCGGCGTAAAACTGTATTTCCTTCCATTTATAAAACAACATCAAGACGCACACCACATTGGAGGAGAAGTTCAGCCAAACACGTAGAAGAATGTGGAAGCACCGAATCTTTTTATACCCGAGCGCACTTGTGCACAAGGGTATTATAACTTTGTTCACATAACGGTTGTTTGTAACAGGCAAAACGAATCGAGATAGATATAGACAAATGTATACATAAATGATCAGGATGAAAAGAGAAATCGATTAAGCGGTGACTGTCTGTCCGTCCGTCCGTCCGTCTGTGCACACGATAACTCTAGTAAAAATTAAGATATCTTAACGAAACTTGGTACGTGTACTTCTTTCGGGCGTAGGACGGATGGTATTGAAAATGGGCAAAATCGGATCAATAACCACGCCTACCTCCCATATAACGG